AGAGCTCATCTCCCTACCTACTACTCGGTTCTCCAGCTTCCAGAGTTGCGGCAGGAAACCAATAACAGCTTTTGGAGGTTGTACCATGGGATTGGTGACTCTGCCAATAATGGTGAGTTTGTTGTCTTCAATTAGTGACTGACTGTCACATTCCGGAATACGTATTGGAGAGCGACGAGAGGCTCCCCTTGTATCTGCCTGCCATTTTCCTTTCTCATTCCTGGTATATCGGCTGGACATTTTACAGAGATGTAGCCGTAGGAAACAGAGCTTGAGTGGAGACGAAATAGAGACAAACGAACACAAAAACCCACTAAACCCGGATAGAAACCCGTAAGAGAGCTAGAGTTAGCGTTGCAAAAGTTGCTGAAAGGTTGAGTCCCTAGAAGCTTGTGTTCTTAAAAGCTCCTACAAACAAAGTCTACTTACCCGGATAGTGACCGGTAAAACAGAGCAGGCTCTCAAAACTTTATGCGGACTGCAAATTGTTGTGAGAACGCTAGACAAACGAGACTAGAATCTTCGAAGCAGTTATTTGAGACCAAAGAAACAAGTTCTCCAGAGCTTAAACGAAGTCTTGAACGAGGGGAGACAGTACTCATGAGATGCAGTGTACACCGGAGCTTAGAGAAGACGCCGGAGAACACAGATTACTCACAAAGATTCTATTTTCGTCCATGAAACCAGGTAGATATTTAAACCAAGCTTGAAACCCGGTTTGCTTTTTCCATATTTGGAAAGAAACAGGGTAGATATTCAAAAATAAAGAAGTGGTATAAGGGGAAAACTCTCTTGGCAAACGTGCCTGAGAGAAAACTTACATCGAATTCCCACACCATCAACTATATATACATATAATAATGATATAAAACAAGATTAGACAAGTAAACCAAATATTTCAATTAACTAATAGTGGAGTTGTGGTTCAGTCTTGGTTTTGTATATATACTCATATGTTTACATTGTAAACACCTGATGATTCATATAATAAGAAAACAATTCCCAAATGTTCATCTTCTCTAATAGGGGCCAACTTCAACTCAAGACATTAAACCCCTAAGCTGGCATGAAAAAATCTTAAGAACAGCCGTGCGTGCGTAGAAAGTTCACACTACCATGGGGATGAATGACAAGCAATGATTAATTAAGTCAGAGCACGCTTATACCAACGGTAAATCATGATTCTGAAAAGTATATTTAAAAAAAAAAAAATAAATTTAGGATATTTTCGAATTTGTAGATCTAATTAACATTTCTTATAAGATTTATTTTCTCTGTTTAATTGGTTGAATGCGCTCGAGATAAACTAACAAACTGAAAAATTATTCTAATACTCTAATTGTTACCAAAATATTACTTTTTCGTCGCCATATATTGTTCTACCTTAATGGTTCGTAAATGCTTCAAATAATTCAAATTTTCATTCTTGAAATTAATAACCAAATGTATATATTCAGCCTTTGTATACACACATTTACACACTGCCTCAAATGATTAGAAAAATCTAACTTGTTCTCCAAAAACTGGCTTGGACCATCCTGATTCACAATATATTGCACTTCAGCCGGAGCAACAACAACAACTCGATATCTTCTTCACAATTCGGTTTGGTCACTTCCAAGAGGACCTCCTTAACTCGTCTTTCATATTATACTAACTAAATCTAGTTTTATTTTGACCATAGGAAAAAAAGTTGAAGCAATATTTATGCACCATCACCTATCTTCTAAAGTTTCAACTAAAATATTTTTCTGATTGAAAATTATAAAGATAATTGTTTCGTAACTTTTATTTATCTTTTCATCAAATTATTAGTCTTTATAATTTTCAATGAGAATAATGTTAGTTGAAATTTTGGAGGGTCTCGTCTCTCCATGTTTCTAAACACGGATTCCGATCTATAGTTGACTGATATTATATTTAAATTTGCCAAATCAACATAAGTTTGTGTATTTTATGACTCATTAAGAAGTTGATATTTGTTTTGGCATAAAACAGAGAATTTGGTATATAAATGACTATTTTTCCTAATATCTCAAAATGCGTCACTTTGAGATTTAACGGTTACAGTAAACGGTTATTAAAATTTGTGTTTTTTATAATTTATTTACAAGTTGATATTTATTTTGGTGCAGTCCGGACAATTCGTATTAAAATGACTGTTTAACTTGATTTTTCCGCTTCGCTTTTCGGCTTTTTCCTTTGGTAGTCCGAAGCTTACAGTGCTGCCAGTGGCATTTTCTCGGAATCGTAAAATCCCTAAACTGTCCCATTTGGCGCCACTTCATCTTCCTCATGTCGTCCGATTCCGCCGGAGCCACAACCGCCGGCAATATCCCCCCAATTTCCGAGAAGAACGCAGAAACCCTAAACCTCAATTCTACAGAGCTTTACTCATCAGCAGTTTCCTCTGTTTCTCCACTGTTTCCCCCACCGTTTTCTTCTCTTTCAATCCCTCCGCCAAACCGGATTCCTAAAACCAAGTTCATCGTCGATTTCTTCCGCTTCCCACAATCCTCCGATTCCTCCTCCGTCGCTTTCTTCCTCTCACATTTCCACTCCGATCACTATTCCGGCCTCTCTCCTTCTTGGTCTAGAGGAATTATATTCTGCTCTCACAAAACCGCTCGCCTCGTGAAAGAAATCCTTCAAGTTCCGTCACAATTCGTCTTTCCTTTGCCTATGCAACAGACGGTGATGATCGATGGTTCTGAGGTTGTTCTGATTGACGCAAATCACTGCCCTGGAGCTGTACAGTTCCTGTTTAAAGTCACATCGGAGGAAAACGGTTGTTTCGAGAGGTACGTTCACACTGGAGATTTCAGATTCTGTGACCCGATGAGATTGGATTCGTTTCTTAGTGGTTTTATTGGCTGCGATGGGGTTTTTCTTGACACTACTTATTGCAATCCAAAGTTTGTTTTCCCCACTCAAGAGGAGTCTGTAGATTACGTTGTTAGTGTGATAGATAAGATTGATGGGGAGTCTGTTGATACAAAGAAAAAGGTCTTGTTTCTTGTTGCAACTTATGTTGTTGGTAAAGAGAAGATTCTGATTGAGATTGCGAGGAGATGCAAGAGGAAAATCTTTGTGGAAGCGAGGAAGATGTCGGTTTTGTCTATCTTGGGGTGTTGTGGGGAGAACGGAATATTTACCGAGGATAGAAATGAGAGTGATGTTCATGTTGTGGGATGGAATGTATTGGGTGAGACTTGGCCGTATTTTCGGCCGAATTTTTTGAAGATGAATGAGGTTATGATTGAGAAAGGGTATGATAAGGTTGTAGGTTTTGTGCCCACAGGGTGGACTTACGAAGTTAAACGGAATAAGTTTGCAGTTAAGTTTAAAGATTCGATGGAGATACATCTTGTACCATATAGTGAGCATTCGAATTATGATGAACTTAGAGAGTACATAAAGTTTTTGAAACCTAAAAGAGTTATTCCTACCGTTGGAGTTGATATCGAGAAGCTTGATAGCAGGGAGGTTTATAAAATGCAGAAGCATTTTTCTGGACTGGTAGACGAAATGGCAAACAAGAAAGACTTTTTATTGGGTTTCTATCGCCAGTCTTACCAGAAGAATGAGTCATGCTCGTCTGAGGTTTGCAAAGGAGAAGATAAAAAGGCATGTGAAGACGGTGGAATTAATGTTCCCTTATTGCATGATACAGCTCCAAAAAGTGATTCTTCAGTGACTGAAAGATTGCTGATAGAATTACGTGATTGTTTGCCTGCTTGGGTCAGTGAAGAGCAGATGTTAGATATGATTAACAAACATGCTGGTAATCCTGTAGATATAGTAAGTAACTTTTATGAACGTGAAGCAGAGCTTTACAAGCAATCCTCTCGAACCTTGGAAAATCAGGCTGTTTCGTTTGATGATGATGTAACCGAGTTGCAACCAAATCCTGATAAGAGCACTTCTTCAGATTGTCAAGTAAGTCAAAAAGGTTTTTCTTTACCAAGCAAAATGGGTTTAACAAAGGGTACCATTTCTCCTGGGAAAAGAGGTAAAAGCATAGGCAGTAAGTCAAACAAGAAGGCCAAGAAAGATCCAAAATCGAAACCAGTTGGTCCAAGGCAGTCGACCATAACTAAGTTCTTTGATAAGGTCTTGGATAGTGAATCGAATTCTGTTGGCGTTGGTTCAGAGACTGAAGAATGCAATACAGATGAAAAGATGGTCCACAGTGATGCTACAGAAGCATACAAAGAAGTAACAGAACAATTTATTGATATTGTTAATGGTTCTGAATCTTTAAGAGATTATGCTACTTCCATCATCCATGAGGCTAAAGGAGATATAAATAGGGCATTGAACATCTACTACAGTAACCCTAGTGAAAGACCTGGTGAGCATGCAAGTGAGGGAGGACTCTCTAGCAAATCAATCCAGTTTCCGCAATGTCCAGAAGCGTGTTCCTCTCAGGAGGAGAAGAAGGCATCAGAAAAATCAGGACATGCAGGTAACTTATGGGGGCGGACATCAGCAGAGGAAATTGTGGACAAAAATTATGTATCTCTACCTCCAGAAAAATATAAACCTAAAGAGCACGGTTGGTTTGTTTATATGCACCATGTTATAAATTTTATACCTACCTGTTATCTTTTTCCCTTAATTTTGTGAGAGTTTGCTTGCAACCAAATTGTGTGCACTGTAGTAAGAATTTTTCTGTGTTTTGGTATAATTCAGCCTGTTGGAGGGATGGACAGCCTGCTCCATATATCCACCTTGTCCGAACATTTGCTTCAGTTGAAGGTGAAAAGGGCAAGATCAAAGCTATGTCTATGCTTTGCAACATGTTTAGAAGGTTGTCTAGTCTCTTTTTCCGTTTACTCTGTTGATTAAGCTGAAGCAATGACGATTGGCACTTATATTTCTGTAAAAATCTCATCCCATCAGCTTGTTGGCTCTCTCTCCAGAAGATGTTCTGCCCGCTGTTTATCTTTGCACAAATAAGATTGCCGCTGACCATGAGAATATTGTCGGTTTAAGTCTCTCATATTTTCTTTCTTCTCTTGTTAATTACTTAACATTAAAGGATTTCTGATCATGTATCAATTCAACTGGACAGGAGCTCAACATTGGTGGAAGTCTAATCTCTTCTGCATTGGAAGAAGCATGTGGAATAAGTCGGTATACTATGAGGGAGATGTATAATAGTATGGGGGATCTTGGTAAAGACAAATCTTATGCCATCTCAGATTAACTTATGTTTCTGCTATTCCTCCTGTACCCCTTCTGAAGGGGTTTTAATCATCAAAATTTCCAGGGGATGTTGCTCAGCTATGTCGACAAACGCAAAAGCTCCTGATTCCTCCACCTCCACTTCTAGTTAGAGATGTGTTTTCAACTCTACGAAAGATAAGGTACAGAACTTAACTGTTTATGTGTTACAGCATAATAGCTATTGACTGAGGTTACACTTATGTCCCAATGAAGACGAGAATGTTCAGAGGTGCTTGTTCATTTTTCTGTTGAAACAACTAGAACTGATATATGAGTTAAAGAACTTTTTACATATAACAGCATTTCTGCTATCGAGGCTTTGTTTTCTTATTATTTAAGTCTTCTTATTTAAGTCCTTCGGATGCCTAAGACAATGAGGCTTTGTTCTCATATGCTAAAACAAATAAGAATTTTCTTTTTCCGGCCTTTAGTTTGATAAAGGATTTTTCGTGGTCTCCAGATAGTTTTTGGGGTCTTGAAAATAAGTGGGACAACTGTATATGGATAGCCTTGTTAATTTTGACACTACTAAGCTGTTTGCAGAACCGTATGTGCTTTTTTTTTTTTTTTTCTGGTAATTAGTTTGAGCCGTCTTCCAATTAAAGTAGAGATTCATTGTTAGTGATCTTTGTTGTCTAGCCACAATTAATTTTATAACATGAGTTCATTCCTGCAAGCTCCTAATAGTTTTCCTCAGTGTGCAAACAGGTACTGGAAGTACTAGGCAAAAGAAAGACCTTATCGTGAAGCTAATGCGCTCTTGCAGAGAGAAAGAGATCAAATTTCTAGTTAGAACATTGGTAAGATTTTCTCAAAATATTTTTCCCATATATTGTACCAGCTTTCGTATTTTAAGCAGCTATATCCCTGTTCAGGCTCGTAATTTAAGGATTGGCGCTATGTTGAGAACTGTTCTGCCTGCATTAGGGCGAGCAATTGTTATGAATTCTTTCTGGAATTGCCATAACAAAGAACCATCAGAAAATTCTTTCAGAGAGAAACTCGAGGTTTGGTTTTGATTTTCACTCTTAGTTCAGAGAAGTGTTTTCTTGTCACTTATCAAGTCAAGGTTGTTCAAAAATTCTCTCTAATCGCTCATGTTCCTAAGCGGAAAGCTAAAAATTTCAGGGTGTTTCTGCTGCGATAGTTGAGGCGTACAATATACTTCCTTCTCTGGTGAGCTTTCAATGTCAACAGTTGCCTTCCCTGCCTCTGATTCACTTTGCCATTTTGCACACGAACTAACTTATTTCTTTGCACTAAATTTTCTTTATGCGGTTAACAATTTAGGGTGTAACAAATTTTAATTCCACCTGTTAACAGCCTTCATACTGTTTGTGATTAGTCCTACTCAGTATAGTTACCACTGAGTAGGACATCAAATAGAGACATCAATTTCAATAATTTGTTTGTTTCCAAACAGGACGTGGTTGTTCCTTCTCTCTTGGACAAAGACATTGAGTTTTCAACATCAACTCTGTCAATGATCCCAGGGATACCTATAAAACCCATGCTTGCAAAGTAATTGTACATATTTTTGAGATACATAATAGAGCTGCTGGTCTCATGCCTCTATTAATTGTGCTGTTTTTCATTGCAGAATTGCTAACGGGGTTCAAGATTTTTTCAAGCTCTTCCAAAACAGGGCTTTTACATGTGAATACAAGTTAGTTTCTCTGAAGAACTTTTCTTAAACTACTCGAAGCTGATGAATTTCTGATTATTAATGGAATGTCTGTTCTTTTTAACTCACAACCCATGAATTTTCTTTGCATTTTGTTGATTTCCATTAAGTGTTACGACATATTTAATATTGTTTCCATGAGTCTTCTTTGCACTCTACTGATTTCCATTAATTTTCTGTGTTTCTGACCTTGCTATTACGTTTAAATTTAACTTTCAGATATGATGGCCAGCGCGCCCAGATCCATCAGTTACTTGATGGTACTGTGCGCATTTTCTCTCGAAATGGGGATGAAACAACTTCCCGATTTCCTGATCTGGTTAATGTTGTAAAACAGTTTGCTTGCCCTGCTGCTGAGACATTCATGTTGGACGCAGAGGTAGGAGATTTTTTCCATATAATTGACTGTACGCATCTTTATCTCTCCTAACCGCGCTACTCATGCGCAAGAAAACAAGGTAAGGGACCTTTTGCCGGTTTTCAAAACCAACCAGTAATTGTTTTTGTGGGTTCAGGTGGTTGCAACTGATAGAACGAATGGAAACAAACTCATGTCATTCCAAGAGTTATCGACAAGAGAGAGAGGGAGCAAAGACGTTTTAGTAACTACAGAAAGTATCAAGGTATTGCACAATATCCGGACAACCTTATTTCTACAACGAAATGATTATCAGCATTTATATCAAGAATTCAAGGAGCTCTGTAGATTTTTTATATGAAGTCTGTTTTGGCACCCTTGTTCTTTATTGTAGTCATGGTTCTAAACCTGTCACCTGTTTGCTCATGTTTTTAAATTTCTTGGACATGGGAACCGATTACTTATGTATTATGTATAAACAATCTTAGTCTTTGGCTTTCTTTTTAGTTTCGGAAGATGTTCTTCCAGCGTAACTATTTTCTTCTAATGGTGCTTTCTGCAGGTTGAAGTCTGCATCTTTGTGTTTGATATTATGTTCATCAATGGTGAACAGTATGTGTCTTTTACTCAGTATTTTTTTTTATCTTCCTCTTCATTCCTCCTAGTAAATTATATCTTGAGTCATAATTTCCTGGGCATAACAATGCAGGCTGTTGGCTCTTCCCCTCCGCGAGAGACGAAGACGTAAGCTTAGCTATCTCTTTATCTCTTAACTCGATGTGTCATTTTCTTCACCAGGTTCATATATGCCCAAAATTTCAGGTCTAAAGGAGGTCTTCCCTGAGACTAGGCCAGGTTATCTGGAGTGTGCTAAGGAAATCACTGTAAGTGCTACGGTAGCTTCTGACCTAGAAGTTATAGACAGAACATTGTAAACTCGTGCACTGTAACTAAGTGCTTTCTCTGTATATTTGTTGGACACAGGTGGGAGCAGAAGAAGTGTCTTTGAACAATCAAGACACTTTGTGTAGAATAAATGCTTTTCTAGAAGATTCATTTCAGTCATCTTGTGAAGGAATCATGGTTAAATCTTTAGATGTTGATGCCGGATACTGCCCCACAAAGCGTACTGATTCATGGCTCAAGGTCTAGTGCTGTAAATTATCTCATCAAGAATTAAGTCCCGGCAATGGACTAAATGGTGCTAAAATTTCTGGTTCAGGTTAAGCGAGATTATGTAAAAGGATTAGGTGACACATTGGATTTAGTTCCTATAGGTGCTTGGCATGGCAACGGGAGAAAAGCAGGATGGTAGTAAAAAACTTATCTCCCAACTTTCTCTTTTTACTGCAAAGCAAAATGTTTGAATTGGTAATTTCTCAGATGCACCCTGATGAATTCTGTTTTCTTTTTTCCTTTTTTTAATTTGTAGGTATAGTCCATTCCTCATGGCCTGCTTCAACCCTGAGACTGAGGAATTCCAGAGTGTCTGCCGTGTCATGTCTGGGTTTTCTGATGCCTTTTACATCGAGGTAATGAAAAGCTCAACTATACTTTCGCACTTCTCCATTCATCTATCTTTGATGATGAAAAGTCTGATATTAACATTGTGACTAAGGTTGGACATTCCCGTTTATGGTCTGGTTATTCTGGGTTCAGTTTTATTTGTCTTATAGAATTTGAGACCAAGTAAAAACCATTCGTAATTCGGGTTTTGGATTTTTGCCAAATAACACGTCAGGTTGGGGTAATTCGGGTTGAGGTTATAAAATGATATGACAGATTGGGGTATAAACAAATTTTGGTTCAGATTCAGTTCGGTGGTTTATATGCCAATCCCTAATTGTGACTCGGTAACCATTTCAAGTGTGCTTTTCTAGTATCTAGGATCATTTATATTTTAGCATTTTCTTCCAGATGAAAGAATTCTACTCTGGGGATAAGATCCTAGCGAAAAAGCCGCCTTACTACAGAACAGGGGAGACACCTGACATGTGGTTCTCCGCAGAGGTTGTATGGGAAGTCAGAGGTGCGGATTTCACCGTCTCACCAGTTCACAATGCCGCTATAGGTCTTGTCCATCCATCCCGAGGCATCTCTGTTCGGTTTCCGAGATTTATCCGTAAAGTGACGGATAGAAATCCCGAGGAATGCAGCACGGCTGCAGATATCGCAGAGATGTTTCATGCGCAAACCAGAAAAATGAATATCACGGATCAACACTAATTGTCCCTATCTGATCAGCTAGCTACGTACATTGACCGTTTGCTTCGTTTTGTCGTTTACCTAACCTAAACGCAACATTTTGAGTAGTTGGCGCTGCTTTTCTTGTTTCTAATCGCTTTGTAAAGTGTGTAAATATTTTTCTACCAAAAACTATGATATGTAAATATTTGTCCCTGTATATATCCACAAATCGCTTCAAGGAACGGACTAGAGTTTCATGATTCTAGAAAAGCACTTGTAGCACAATTTGTTGATGAATTACAAGATCGCATTGCCTGTATGCATATACATTTCTGGGCTTTGAACCATACCATTTTTGTATTCCACAATTATGCAGTTCGTTTTAGTAACCATTGCTCTCAAGTAGACTTTCTTTCTAGCGATGTTGTCATTCATGATGGTTTAGTTGATTTTCGTATTTTGTAATTTTTGTTAGTGATTGTTTCCATATATGGAACCTGGAACTGCGATATTGGAAAGTTTACATGGATCTCAGGGTTTGAGGTAATGAAATAACAACCACCGGACAATGCAAGATGATGACACACCAACATTATAAGTTGATCAAGTTATTGGCAACATATGGTATTTCAAAATGACTCATTCAAAATGGTTGGTATCATATTGTCATAACAATTAGATTTTGTCGTGCATTGTGCGATTTGAATACTTTCTTAACAAATTCTAGCTAGACACATAATTCGTAGTAGAATGACATCGATTACGAAGGACGAGAATAACCGTTTTAATAAACTCTTACCGGTTAAAACATCGTTTAAGTTTTTTTT